GGCCTCCCCCGGGGCCTCTCCCTCCCCTCGCCCCCGCGCAGCCCCCGCGGAAGGGCCGCGGCTGTGGGGGGCTCCCGAGGGGCCCGGCCCCGGCGGGCGCCGAGGACAGGCACCTCCGGTTCGTGGCGGACTCTGTGCCTGGGGGGTGGCGGTGTCACCTGGAGCGGGGACACCTTCCCGGCGGGAGGCCGGGGGTCTCGGCCTTAGTCTTGTCACCTAAAGCGTGTTTGACATCAGAGGTCGCTGCCTGGAGCGCGGCGTGAGGGCTGTGCTGAAGGACTCTCAGCTCGCGCGAGTGTGGACATAGGTTTCTCTTGCGGCATTTTCACGTACTCGTGGGACTTTTCTACCCGTTTCTTTGGCTCAGACAGTGTCTTGCCATGAACAGCAGCAGCACGACCTGTCACTTGTTTGTTCTAGCTCATCCCCGGACACAAGCGTCCAGTTCCATCAGTCGCGTGGTGGTTTCCTTTTGTGGGGAAGTCAGGCACACCAGTAACATGAAACAATTTTTCTTATATTTTTCATACTGAAATCCCGTACCTCGTTGTTTTCTGAGATATTCAGGAACTGACTGGGCTATCTACCCAAAACAAAGCCGTAAATTCACACCATATGAGGATCTTCTGTATTTTAATCTGAAATTGGAGCTCCCCAAAGCATGCAGCCTCTGAATAGCATTTGCTAGTTGCATCTTGATGCTTTGAATATAGGAAAATGCAATATATTTATTTGTTCTTTGTATCATGCTTTTATGTGAAGGGAAAGTTGTAAACACAGGTCGCATGAGGCCTTTTATTTGTATTTCTGTGGTCAGTAGCCATTTGTTTTGTAGGTGATGGTGTCTGCGTGTGTATGAGCATGTTCTGGGAACTCTCTCATGAAAAATTCTTTTTAGGGACCAGGACATGCTGAGTATTTCCTCTGTATATATGTGTGTATGTAAATATACATATACACATGCATGTATCCGAGATGGTTAGGGTTGGAGCAGCAGTGCCATTTCCAGTGCCCGCTGCATCGAGCATGTTCAGGGTGGATGCAGGGGAGCAGAGCAAGCTTGCAATGATGTTACTACCAGTTGGCAGCCTGATCTAACAAGTTTAGTTTGCCTTTTTCTGCAATGACCTTACAGTTAAGGGCCTCAGACAAACTACTGTTTTGCAAGCATAGTCTCCCTCTCCCTCCAAGATGGCTGTAATCCATTTTTATTGTCCACAGAGAGATCATGTTTGCATCATAAATACAAGTCTTTTTTTCTGTAAGGGAAACAATGAGAAAACACGAGAGAAAGGACTGACTTTCCATCCCAAGGCAGTTGGAGGAAGTTTCTATTTTGCGGTATAGTTGGGTCTAATTACACTTGAATAGTTTTCAGTGGAGCACTGGGTTCAGTGGGTGATGGGTGTGTGCCTGCCTTTTCAGCCCTGGCAGCTGTAAAACATCCAATTTTGAAGGTATTCCTGATTTTTTGTGTGTGTGTGTATCTTGCCGAGCAATTTGTAGTTTACTTATTGCCGTGCTCAATGTGGAGACATCCAGGCAAATACCCTAGGTTTCTCTTGAATTAATGTTGTGAAGCAGTGTATTTCTGCCTTGAATCTAGCAGTTGGAACTGTGAGCCCGAGATCATCAGTGTCAGATGATGTCTTTTTTCCATTGGCTTCAGTAGGTGGTGTATAATTAACAAGGAAGCACTTTCAATTCTTTTCTGACTTGTCTATTGATTCAATAGTATTGATGCAATTAGTAATCATTGCTTCATTAGAAACAGCAGAGGGTGACAAATATTTTGCAAAGTTATCTTACTTGAGTCAATATTTTCTATAATTTGTGCCCCCAACAGTGTTTTTATTTTATATGCAATAACAAAAGTCTAAAAAATTAGTACACCCACTCTAAAGCTGGCCATTTTCATTAGTCATTTTCCATCCCATTTCAATTATATAGCGTGATTTCCAAGTGCTTAGTATTTTATACATCTCTGGAGTTATAGATTACTGTGTTTCTCTTTCATTTGGGATTTCAGAATTGGTACAATATTGCTTATTGCTTCAGCAGCTCTTGAGAGAGCATCTTCCCATATAAACGCAGAGCTGAATTGCTAGAAAGAGCAGAACATAAGAGTGTAACATGATGCCAAGGTCTACTTGGTGGAAGCCATGCTTTAGTTTAGTAAGTAGTCATTAGCCCTGATGTTCTGCAGAAACAGAACTTACAAAATATGGTGCACAGGCTTCTCTGGCACATCCCAAGGCAAGAGCCTGTAATCTGACAGTGAAAATAATGTTCCCTGAGTTTGGAAGGCACTAAGGGACAATCCAGAGTTTTTAATTCCTCTCTTTGAAACGGAATAGTATGTCAGGAATTGAGAGACTTCAGTCATAGCACTTTCCAGCGCTCAAATGCTGGAGGACTGGTCCACGCTACAGTACTGCCAAAACTGTGTGCCAAAACAATTTCTCTGCTGCAGTGTCTCTGATAGAATTTCACTGAGGTCATATTAGCAAACTAATTGATCCAAATCATGTTTTGTTTCCATAGGTTTCCCATTCTAATAGTAGTTCTAATCTGTATGTTTAATGTCACACTCAGAAGCATTTGGTGACATTCTGAATGCTTTTCTATGTAATATCACATTAGCACAGGTACTTCAAAATGGAAATCAGAACTTCTGACTTAGACTGTCTTAAGGCATCGCATTAACTTGGACCAAATCTGAGCACCCTCTCTCTTTTTTTTTTTTTTTCTCCCACTCAGTTGCTTGGAGAACAGAGTTAAGGTGAACATCCTTAATAGTTGAGACTGTTGAAGTTTTTCTGTTTCATAGTCCCAATATTGCAATGTTGTATTTTTCTAATACTAATTCTAATAATTCTAATACTTCCTCTTTCAGGTACTTCGTACTTAACAGATATAGTATGGTGGTCTGGCACTATTGCAAGTAAGTATCTTAAAAGGTTTGATTCTTATTGAAAGAAAAAGTTGCACTCTCACTCTGGCTACTGTGTCTGACAATGTTTGAGAAGGCAAAGAGCTGGGGCAAACCTGAATCGGACATCTTTCCACATTGCCAAACCATTTGGTAGTTGCAGCCCTTGGCAGCCATGCACTGCTCTGATTCTGGGTTCCTGCATGGTTTGGGTCTCTGGATTGCGCTGGTCTGCTCAGTTTTTAATAAAAGTCAAAGCTGAATAAGAAATTGTTGCTCTGCACAAAAGGGCTTATTGAGCACATGTTATTTTTTAGATCAGAAAGCACTTAGCCAGCCTCAGTTAAAAAAAAAAAGTCCTTTTTGATTTCTAGTTTGACAGATACAGTTTCAGTTTTGCTTTTAATCTACAAGATTAATGTGAAGCCTTGTGGTGCTGATAGGAGATCAGTGTAATTTTATTCTTAGTGTCTCTGTAAACCCTGCTCACACCAAGTTCACTCTTTGATGTGAATCTAGAGCATGGGGAGCAGCTATCTTTCTCCTCTTGCAGTTCAGCCCTAGTTGTACCCCCAAGCTTAAAATCATACCCCACTTCTAGAGTCTAACCCAATTTTGTGAATTATTTGGAAATGTTCCGATGCTGTTGCTGAGAAGTATGTGAGTCCAGTTGTGCCCCTTGTTTCATGGCAGCAAGGTAAGTCTCTGTTTTTGTCATCTTCAAGCTATGCAAAAGGAACAGAAACTGATAAATTCCTTGAAGAACTAAGTTCATAGCAAGTGTAGAAGCCAACATTGTTTCAGAGGAAACTCCTCAGCTAATTTAGCTTGAGTTTAAGTAGTTCTTTGTCAGCTTCCTCCTTTGCCCAGAGGATTTATTGCTATTGCCTAAGTAGCAATAAATCTGTGCATTAATCACTGTTGTTCCAGAAGGAGTTAAAATAAGAGAGGTTTTATTACAGGAGTTTATCTCAGTGAATCAGAGAAAATTATTTCATGCTTAAAAGAGCTGACTGAATTGAATGAAGGCAAAACAGCTGAAGGGAATGGTATCAGTTGGCTTTTGTCCAGTAGCTAGGTGCAGGTATTTCAAAACAAAGTCCCAGTAAGTTTACAAAGAAACCAAGGGAAGAATTACTTAAGGATATTACAGATTCAGAATTGCAACAGAGTCACAAAGAGCAATAGCAAGGGCCGGGTAGGCACCTATGGGATGCAGAGAAAGGTGATGTTTGGGAAACTAGCAATATCCCCAGTTATCTCGCATAATATTTTCAAGCAGGGAATTTGGAGTATGGATGACTAATAAAACCCACATAAACTCTATCAACTTGTTTTCACAATATTTGTTCAGATGGTGAACAAGCATTTCTGTGTTGACATGCTGACTGAGCGTAACACTGCCTAACCATTTTGAGGCCTTGGGATCCACTGGATTACTGAAGACTTCAAAGGAAGGGCTACAGATTCTTCTAAGGGACTTTTTTCTTACACTGTAGTCAAAAGAGTGATTGCAGCATGTGTACAGGTATTTCAATTAGTATTAAACTAATTAATTGGCTAATTAATTAGTTTCAGTGCAGGTTTTGATAGCAGTGTAGATGTGGCTGATTTTATAGTGGATACATCTATGTTAGTGTTTTGTTGCAGGTGCAGAATACATTTATGAAGCAAATCTGTTTGTTTCCACGAATTGGGCTTTATTTCACATTGTGGAGTGGTTTTGGAGCTCCTGAACTGGACTTTAAGATGAAAGTAGGCTGGAAGATGCACTCCAGGAACATGGCTAACGCACACCAGCTGCAAATAGACTTTCAGTCCATGGGACAGCCTGAAGTTAGTCCCCTGACATGCATAGAGCAGATATCTTTTGCTGTATGGATCTACTCCTGGTCTCTTTGCTATTGTAGAGATGTCAGTGTGCATCAAGTTTTGTGTTCCAATAGCTTTGGGGATATTGGTACTCCTTTAGCAAGCTTGGTGTGCCTTCAAGAACTGAAGCCATGTCTCGACTTACAGCGTTGATGTATCAGGAGAGGACTTCTATCCAGAGACAAATAGATAGGTTGACAGGGAAGGTCTTCAACATCAGGTAGATGGTAACAATTACTGAGATCCTTTTTTTAATTGGGCTTAATTAGCCCTGGTCTCTCATTTGTGGTGGTAGGAGACTGTTACTATTACTTCATGGTGGTACTGAAAACCTCTGGTAAGTTCAGTTGCCTTACAATATGTGCAGTTTAACTGAAGCTTCAAAGACCTAATTTATGGATCGCTGTTGTTGCCATCTGTTAGGGTTCTTCCAACAGAATGTTAAGGCATCTGACCCCCAAAATAAGCAACCTTTTGTCAGAGTCACTTGGAAATGTATGTCATCTGCAGAAACAGAGCATGCCAGCTGTGCCCCATCCTCCCTGCAAGATCTGCCCCAGTGCCTTAGGATGCCTTGATGATAATGCCAAGGTTGCCACATACATCTGCTGAAAACCAAGCCTGAGGCAGATAGCTGAGTTAGTCTGTTCCCAGGGGCAGTGAGACTATCACTGACTCTGTGCTCTAGAAATGCTGCTCATTAACTTCTCTGGCTCACTACTTCATGTAGAAAAAGCCCCAGTGAACTGAATTAGTGTAATTTTGCCACACTTTGCAGTCTTGTAGGTTTGTTTGTCTTCTTCGCGTTTCCTGTAGGTTACACAGGTCTTCAGCTTTACTGGTAATGTGAGCTAATTTGGTAAATTAATTAATGTTTGCACTGTGCTTTGCAGGTGTAAAGAACAGGATAATGGTCATGATATTTGATAGTTGAGGGCATTGACAGCCTGAACATAAAGACAGCTTGGATTCTTGAAATATTTTTAAATGCTGATAATGGTTCTTAACATCAACTGGAAATTTGAGCTGTATTTAGTTTGTGTTCAATCTCAACGTTCTTGCCAGTTACCACACACCTTGTAGCTATGCAAGCATCATATTGATCTATTACAAACTTGCCAGCACTTGTAAAACCATCCAGCTTTTATTTTTTTAACTGAAAACTTGAACGCATGACCTGTTTATCACAGCTGTGATGTGCAATAGTGTGGTACGTCTTGGAATTTGCTTTTATTGGGAGAAAGGGAAAAAAAAAAAAAGATTGTGAGGCTGTTATTGTGACTTGCCAGGGATCTGTTCTTTTTGAAGTGGTCAGGAATTACTTTTGATGTTATATAGTGTTGTGAAAAATCTGATGTGGTCTGCTGTGTATTGAAGAGCACTTACGCATGTGCTTCGTACTTTATTAGTAGATTCCTTTCCTCAGTACTGTCCTTATTTCCCCCTCTAAAAAGGTAACAGTGCTGTTAGGAACTACAACCAAGTGCATTCGTGTTACACGTATGCACGTTCTAAAAATGAAATTATGGGTTATATATACTTTTAGCCCTCCTCATATAAATATTTGAATTTAATATTGAGATATTTGAGTGTAATCCATGAGTGTATCTAATTCATAGTCTTATTTATATTCAACTAAGAGAACTTGCAATTGAGATTTACTGTGCCCTCTTGGATCTTCTTGTGTGGCAAATATAAATCCTATGTTAAAAAATGATTTAAAAATATAGACAAATTACAGCTATTTGGTTTAAGTGCAAAATTAGGAGAACTAAGCAAATATGTAACATCTGTTTTCCAGTTAGGTCAATCTTTCCCAAACAGTATTGGGTAAGTTTTCATGACTTTTTTTACAAATGCTTATTTCTGGTTCTCTTGGCAGTGGCTCTGGGTCAAATAGGGAATTTCTTGGCCTACACTGCAGTCCCAACTGTGCTAGTGACGCCCTTGGGAGCTCTTGGCGTTCCATTTGGGTGAGAGTTTGCTTTTCTTGTTCTTATCTGAATGTTGTTACTACTTAGTAAAATGTCAGATAGACTCAATGATCACTGAAGGTCCACTGAGAAGGGGTCAGGCTCTACTAAGTTGTCACCTCTGAAGATGTCTGTTAATTGTGTCTTATAGTGTCACCTATTCCTGTTTTTCCCAGCAAAGTGGCAGGGGGAGAGGTGAGGAGGGGTGGAAGGCTATAGTGATGCAAGGGTTCCTGAGTACCTCTTGCTTTAACTATCGCTATGATCTGGAACAAATAAACATTTGTTTTTCCCCCTCACTGTGGTTATGCTGGACTCTTCTGTCTATTCTCTTATTCACAGTTCCCTTACTATGTAGATCTTTCCTTTTATCTCACATTCTTTCTCTCCCCTGCTATCCACAGCCCACATGTGTTTTTTGGTGCTGATATTCATTTAACTGGATTTGACCCCTTTCTTGAAGCAAGGCAGTCTCTTGCATATGCATGGCCCCAGCTTCTTGAATGTTATGTTCATGGTGGGGGAGGAACAGAAAAGGCAGTGAGTGTTCCTAAAAGGAGTTTAATATGCAGCTAAATGTTTTGTGAATAGCTAAGCTACAGTTGTGAAACTACCGCAGTGAAAAAGTACAATTCTTTACAAACAAAGCTGTGCATTGCCTCGAGATTTTTCTGTTGCCTACTGCTGGCTGCTGCATTGTGTATCTGACTGCACTGGTCATCTACTTCAGAGTGTAGATTGCTTTCTATGGGCTTCACGGCTGTCTTTAGTTTCATACACTGTGAGGTGATGGTGCTCTACTTAGCACCTATTATTTTATCCTAGGTCACATAATTTTTTGTATTTTGGTCAGCTACATGTCTGAGCTGAGCCCTTTGATCTTTCTAACCAAAGGTCACTTTTATCTTATGACTGTGTAGTGCCTATAAAAATGGGGCTTTGAGATCTCACCAAATCGTTAATGAGTAGCTATCTGGCTTGGGTGCCAGATGCCTGGTGAGGGGGTGATCTGGTGTGGGGTTTTGTGGTGCTGTGATTGGGGTTTTTGTTGGGTTTTTGGTGTGGGGTTTTTTTCCCCCTGAGATGAGACATCAAGGCTTGAGTAAGACTGAGACTGGATGTATCTTTCCTAAGATAAGTCAGAAATGCATTTCTGAGGATCCACCAACGTGTGGTCAAAGATCCACCAACTTTTCATACTATTCCTTTAAGAGAGAAATTAATGTGGTACATCACTCTTAGAGTGTAGTCAAACTTTTAATTTCCTTCCTCTTTGTGAAAGCTCCATTTTAGCTTCTTACTTACTGAAAGAAAAACTGAACATTCTTGGCAAGCTGGGATGTTTGCTGAGCTGCGCTGGGTCTGTTGTTCTCATCATCCATTCCCCGAAGTCCGAGAGTGTAACGACTCAGGCTGAGCTTGAAGAGAAGCTTACAAATCCAGGTACTTTGCTCTTTTATTAGCTCATAATGATTTTGTGAGACTGATTGAGAACATGCAGGAGGAAGAGGCTTACCGCTTTTACCAGGTAGGAAAAATGACTTCTGAAGAAACCATGATATGAGAGGGAAACCAGTATAGCTTTTGTGTAGGAAAACTATGCCTTGCTGTACTTGAAAGTTGTCAGATTTATTGATACATGTGTATGGAAAGGAAAATGTGGATACTTTTGACAACATTATTCTGCACAGCAAGCTCAGAACAATTGCCATTTGAACTTGTAATTTTCTAAATTATGAAAAAGTGTATCTTGCTAGTTAGAGATGAAAGGTATAATTCTAGGATCTCAATTTAAGCTGTTGTATAGAAAATGAAAAATACTGATTGTCTTTAATACTGCATTTTTTTAATTAAAAGTTTATACTAGACACCAATTATGTTCCAAGCAGATTTCTTTGCACTACCAACAGTAGAAATAGGCTGCTGTGACATGCTGAAATGTCTGTTCTTTCTCACAGAGAATGTGAAGCCCCACCAGCTGCTGGGGGACACACACTAGTGCTAATATATGCCAGACCCACTTTTATTTTTCTTGCATAAGAGCTAAACTGCCAGCTATTATTTCCTTTAATTTCTTTAGATGAGAGAAACTCAAACCTAGTAACATCATCTATCCAAAAAATTTGCAAAGAAAGAAAAGAAAACAAATACCCTGGTCTAAATTTACCATTTCAGTCTGACCAAAATGAACTGGAAATATATTTATTTAAAACTATAAAGTGGGAACTGTTTGTCACCCTCTAATCTGTGTACTGATGCTATAATTTAAATGATATGGCCTCCCAGGTGTTCCAACTCTCCCTACTCACCTTAATGGTATCTAGCTTTATGTTTAAGCATCCACACACCATGCTTTATTAAACTGGTTATGAATGAGGTGTTATCACAGCTGTCTGTCACAGGGGCCTTTAAGGAGTATCATCCTGATGGAAGAGACAATAAAAAAAAAAAAGCCATCTTAAATCCAGTTCAGTTGTGCAACAGTGTGTATTTTACTACATGATGATTTGTTTTACCCAAAGAACATGGCAGCATCAGTTGCAAAAAATAGCTGGATTGGATCTATATTCAGTAGTAAATCTTAATTGTGGTGTATACCTGAAGTTCACTGGTTATGACATGAATGTTTAGAAGACTGAGAATTCTCACCTTGCTTTATCTTGTTTTCTTCTTGTTTTCCAGTTTTTGTGGGTTATCTCTGCATAGTGCTGCTAATGCTTCTCCTGCTTATCTTCTGGATAGCTCCAGCTCATGGACCTACTAATATCATGGTTTACATCAGCATTTGCTCTCTGTTGGGCAGTTTCACTGTTCCCAGCACGAAAGGCATTGGGCTGGCTGCTCAAGATATCTTTCACAATAACCCATCGAGTCAAAGGGCTCTGTACCTCTGTCTGGTACTTCTGGCAGTATTAGGATGTAGCATTATCATTCAGTTCAGATATATCAATAAGGCACTGGAATGTTTTGACTCCTCTGTGTTTGGTGCCATCTACTACGTTGTGTTTACCACCCTAGTCCTGTTGGCTTCAGCCATCCTTTTCAGGGAATGGAGTAATGTAGGAGTGGTAGATTTTTTGGGAATGGCTTGTGGATTCACCACAGTATCTATTGGAATTGTTCTTATACAAGTCTTCAAGGAATTCAACTTCAATATCGGAGATTTAAATAAACCTAACATGAAGACAGATTAAAATATTTTTTGAGGGGAAACTGGATGGCTCAGGGAAGGATGCAGAGCCTTTCATTTCTAGGTCACTGATTCAAATATGATTCAGGTTGGTATTTACCCTCTGACAATTTGGTGGCCTATGTGAAATGAATTGGGGGCCTCCATCCAGTTTCAAAGGAACAATTGCCCATGTACCCCAGTCAACACAATAAATGACCTTAATTGGAACCACTGATTGAGTCAGCATAGAGACTGATGTATTTCCTTACTGTAAAAGGCAATGCATCAGAAAAGATTTTGGGATATTCTGACAGACCTGTGTGTAAAAGCTTGTATTGTGGCTTCTGAGGTACCATTCCTGTGGGCAGAGAACATCAGTTTCTAATGCACTCAATCTGACACCTTTCATGAGTGATGTATACCTTAAAATATGGGGGGGAAAAAAAGTAAGTGGAACAATTTGTTAATCTCAGTATAGCGATGTGTTCACCGTCAAGGCTGTGAATTCTGAGACAAATGTTGGTTGAACCATGGACTGCAGATTTCTCGTTTTTAGTGACTGTCTCGGCAACTTGGTCTGCCATGCGGTGAAGACACTGGGGAGTTTTAAATTGAATTCTTTATACAGAGCACTGGACCCTTAAAGATCTTTCACTAATTACTTATCAGCTGATGGTAGTGTCCAGGTATGCATTTTTCTTTGTAACTTATGTGCATTAAGACATACCGCATTCATCTGAGAGTTTTTAATTGGGAGCAAACAGAAAGACTGTGAAGGATATGGAAATGATGCACAGACTCATTGCCTATATGGTGGCTTATTTGTAAGCAGCTCGGAACTATTTCAGTGCCTTTGTAATCCAAAAATACTGCATAAATGTGAATGTATTTGTTTCAGATGGCTTATATCAGTTTAATAATTCAGTTTCACTGTTTATAATATTGGACTGTATTCAAATTCTAAACATGTAAAGCATCCAGGAGCCACAAATTTTTGGAAGCATTTACAGACCTGAACTGAAACCCTTAGATGCCTTGACAGCTTCTGAAAGACCCATAGTCTTAATGGGAAGAGGTAATCTATGGGAGGACTTGTTTAAAGCAGTCCAGCATACCTTTATTTTAGTTAAGTGACTAAATACAGGAAATCATTTTGTGAAGTAGCTAATAAGCAAGGACCACAAAAATAAGAAATTGAAAAGCATGAGATTTCTCATCACTCAAAAAAAAAAAAAAAAAGGTCTGACCTTCTTGTAAACATGAGAAAAGGAGGTTAAGAACTGAAAAGCATAGGCATTCAGAGAGCTGGGTTTCAGATAACTAACAGGGATATACATTGAGATCCAGTAATTTACAGACCCGTGTGAACAGTTCAGCCATAATATTTTAACAAGTAGTAGACAGCTTAAGCTATGATTGGAATGGTTCTGAACTGTTCAGTTTAAATCATTTAGAGAATATTGATATGTCAAAGAAAAATTAATTTTCACATTCTAGCTATATTTGGTATTTAAAACATCACGAGTCAAAATTGTAAGGAAAGCTTGAAAAGTAATGAATGTTGGTTTCCATTTAAGTACAAAAATGTAAGGGTACAATAGAACTCAACATCTCTAGTTCAGAACGTCTCTTGTAATGAACAGAAAACCCCAACATGATTACAAGACAGTATTTATGAGGATGTTGATTAATGGGGAGTAATACTTCCACTCTTGCAATGTTTTTTGTTAACCTGAATTAATGTTACCTTAAAACTCAGCCTCCAATTTCATTTAAGAGGGGTGTTATAAGCCCTTTTGATGGCAGCAATAATTGTGAACAGTGAATCCTAAAGATGTGGTATTCTGAAGGGACTGTTCCGAGGGAGTAAGAGCCCCACTATGTTATTTGGAAGCTTGTTTTGGAACTCCAGACTGGGGGGAATGACTGAGTTAGCAGAGATGTATGTCGTTATAGGCCAGCATGGAAACTGGGTATCTTGGTGAAAGAGAAAAGTCCATCTTTACAGATTTTCAAATATTGTGTATGGTTTCTATAAAGTTTGAGAACTGTAGATGAGGGAAATTGGACTATGAAAGCCAGTTAAAACTAACCTCTGTCCATTATTGATTGGAAGATGGTATCTTGGTTCTCAGACGACAGTTATGTTTTTTCATATTAATTCCCTTTGTTCTGATTGAAACTGGAATTGTACATAGATTGAGACCCATAGTGACCTACTTTTTAAAACAATATTGACTGTTTTCTGAAACAGTCAAGTTGTCTTTTCAAAATTCATATCTGGAATTCACGAGTTGTGTTGGTTTTGTACTATCCTTTAATCTCCGAAGACTTCATGAAAATCTTGAGTTCAGGATGGAAATGATTGTGGTCTCATCTTAGTCCTCCTTTGGCCACATTTGTTTATTTTGTTTTGTTTCAAAGTTAATTCCTATTTATTTAGAAAGTGCCTATCCTAGTACGTTAGGTGCGTATGCAAATTGTTAGTAACTACTAGATCCAAAATAACTTGACTGCCCTGTCTAAACCTTGCTGTTTTCTGCACCACACACAAGTTTACTTGATAAGTACTCACTATGCAGAGTAAGAATAAAGTAGCAGCCATGTTCTGTAGTCCTCTGACCATCCTTACAGCTGATAAATGTCTGCATAGGTTTCTTCTCCCCAGCCGCTCCTCATCCGTGATGAGCCTTCTAGAAATGTCTAGTTAACCTTGTTTAAAACAGAGATGTCAAAAGCCAGCACATAAGGTGAAAGAAATTCTTGTGGCCTTGCACACATCATTTGCATCTACAGCCTTTTACATCATGAATGCTAAATAATGGACACCTTTATTTTTGCTACTTTGTTCAGTGTGTAGCAGTGTTCTTTTGAGCTCTGCTGCACCTGATCTGGTTCAGTTCTAACTTTAGAAATATATTAGCATTTTCTGTTGTCACTGTTGGTATGATTCTTCCCCTCTCCATCCCACGCCCTCCTTGTTCTAGGTGTCTTACCTTTTTTTAGTCCTGTTGTTTCTCTAATTTAAGAGGGGGCACTGTGGAAGCTGAATTTTAGCTGTTCCCTCTTTTGGGTTTTTTTCCCCACCCCTTTGACAAGTAAGCACTTTGAATAAGACAGATATCCAAGTTCCATCATCTCAGGGAGCAAATGTGCATAGTTGTCTCCTGAGCTTTGGTGTCCCTCATGGGTCTGCCCTTTTCGTGTTCTCTTTGCATTATGTCTATTGACAGCTACAAGCCAGATGACTTCAGTTCTAATTCCAAAGTAGAAGTGGGAGAGGCTATACATACAAAAAGTGGACTCATTACAGTGGTGGGATGTGTTTGAATAAAATTCAGATCCGCATGAAAGGCATTCCACTCTCTATGTCTGGCTTCCATTACACTTGTTAAACATATTTACTTGGTACTCACTTGAAGTTCTTTGATCATTATCCCTTCAGTGTATGGAGGATTTACATGCGTCAGTCACGATCTTTATTAGGTGTCAAACACAAAAATCCCTCAAATGTTCAGTAGGAGAATAGAAACCTTTTTGATACAACCAAAAAAGAATTTGTTACACCTTAAATACGTAAAAAAAAGAAAAATATCTAAACAAGTTATCTGCTGTATTGACTTTCCAGGACTCTCTTATGTGTACATAGAGTCTATTTATTAGCGAGCTGCAACTAACATTAATAAGAACCTGTCATATCACAGTGTGACAAGTGAGGCTTCCTATTAATAATCTTGGTTTACGTTGAACATGTATTTTTCTGAAGTAGCTAGCACTGAAAAATGAAAACACTGGATTAATTTGTTAAAACAGTAGAAACTAAGGTTTAGCTTTCCTTTTTATGTAAAAAAAAATAGAGGGTTTGTATTTGAAGAAAGATTTAGGGTTAATAAATATGGGGTGCTTTAAATGGGCAGTTGTTTGCATGTTGTACCCCTCTCACCTTCTTGTTTCATAAATATAAAATATCAAGGGTTCTACAGATCTTCCTCTGTCATCTTGATATGGTGTAACTGCTGAAGTTTTACTGTTAAATCAAATGTTATCAAATGTTTATCTATTACCTGTTACCTTTTCTTTACAGAGATTAGTCTTTGTAATAACTCTTTGGTGCTACTGAATATGGGTTTAAGTGATGCAGAATTTTAGCATGTAACGTGTTAGGCACCAATGATGTCAACAGTTGTTATTACTAGTGCCCAAGTGTTTCAGACAGTGGTGTTGAAATGTTAGGGATTAAGAAATCTTTTTAAAAAGCTTTGAACAGTTGCTCTACAGAGTGGAAAATATTACACAAAAGGGTTATTTTTAAGTTAAATCTTTTTTCAACTATGGATCTTTCTCTTGTTTGGGTTTTTTTGGGTTTTTTTTTACTTGTTTGGGTTTTTTTTCTGGAATGTAAAAAATAGTTCTAATGGAATATGGTGAAAAGGTGGATGGCAACAAACATACAGTGTCAGGTTTGGTTGCTTCAATGCTATTGCAATATAGTTACTACAGATTAGATAAAAATGTTTTATTTTATTAGCTTCCAAATAATGTATATATAGATTTGTTAATGGCTTACAAGTCAAGCTTACTCTCTTTGCTTTTTAAAAAATAGTTATAGGCATGTTGTATTTGCCTTGTGTAAATTATAAAAGGCTATTTATTAAGTTTTCTGATAACTAATCTATTTATTAACCTGTATTGTTTTAAAATAAAAGATTTATTTCTAGCTCAATGCTTGTTTTTGACTTTTCTTTATCACGGGGGGGGGGCGCGGAATCAGTTTCCCACACCTCTAGCTGCTTGTACACCCTAATCCCAATTCATAAGACCAAACTATTTTCATTACACTTTCACAAAATAGCAGCCTTGCTTTTGGGTACAGATCAGTTACCACACAGAGGGCTTAGTTGTCATGTAGTGGTGTCTACCAACAAGCTGTAGTCTTAATGTCTTCATAGTAGTGAAGTTTGCTTACAGGTAAAATGAACACTTCTCTGGCAGAAATGTTTGTTGGGGCCTGAGTCACTTGTGACTTAAGGGTTATCACGTGCTCTGTTCATTCATTGCTGTACATTAGCTACTTGCTAGAGCTTTTATTTCAAGATCTACTACTCCACAGTTGAGTGTGCATTGAGTGGCAACAGCTGTAAGGAAGTCTGTGTCACCAGTCTAATTTACTGTCACAAGAGCTTCCTGCCGAAAGAATCACTTGGAAAATTGCAGTGGCTGCCCATCCAATCCTTTATTGTAAATTCCTAGCTCTTTGTATCAGGTACTGGCAAATACATGACTTACAGGCATGAGGAGGGTTTTGTTTTGTTTTAAATGATGGGATTTATGATTAAGAACAGTTTCAGTCTTTGTGCTTGTGTTTTAGGGAAAGCATCAGGATTACTGCTGGGCAAAATTGAAAGTTATTTTTAAATAAGGAAATTAGCTCCTCTCCAATATAAAATACTGTATGCAGTGAAAAAGATTGGCATGGATTCTTTCCTGGGTACGTTATTGCAATTTTCTTTTTAAAGGTGTTGATGTTAATGCAACGTACAAAGATAGGCCAGAAAACTTGAGAGGTTTTCACTTATACATGCAGCATCTCTGATTTTTAAGTAAATAGGATAAGGAAGTATGTATTTTGAGAACACATTTTAGCAGGAAAATTAAACTCTCTGTTCTCTTCTTGTGCATCTCGGGAGTTAAGCCTGCAAGGCAGCATTGTAGAAAGGGCAGTTATCCCATTTACACCACTGTTATTGTTGATAGTCTGGGACATAACCAATCCTGAGCATATGTATTTCCACAACACAAGTTCATATGGGAAGAGTGTTGCAAGACCAGAATCTGATAGTGCCAAAAGAAAAAAAAAATCCCATTTCTGAGGTTTATTCTAAGAGCTTGAGTCTTAAGTAGAGTCTCTTAGGTTCCTTGTATGTGACAGTGCAACTGTTGTATGAGTAGACTCAGACATTGTTTCTTTGTTCTGCTCAGCTGTCTTCGTGAAATGTAGCAGGGATGTGGCCACCAGAGACCCTGTTACAGCTGCCTGATTCTCTAATCAATTTTCTGCCAGGTACAGAGCTCACTGGATTCACCACCCTGGTGGGATGCTTTAAAACCCTGACAGCTGGCACTGTTGTGCTGGGGGACTGTGTATCCAGAGAGCAGCTCTGGGCAGCTGCCGTGTGCTGGCTTTCCTCACAACCCCTTCACTGTGTGCACACGGTTGGAAATTACTGCGCAAGAGTCCATCCGTTGGTATGCAACACAAGCTAGACTACCCACTCACCTGGTAATATTTCCTGAAGTAGTATGGGTGGTATTTTTGCTCTTTGTCCTTTTAAACCTTATGAGCTCTTTATACATGTAATAGACATTAAGCCCTGAAAAACCCTGTCCGTAGCCTTGCAAAAGTAACTACGCTAGCTGACCTCTTTTGTGAAATTCATTGAGCACAGACAGCCTGCGCTGCTGAGTTACCCTACAAGAGTGGGTTAGGTTAGGCAAGTTACTGCTGTTCTGATACCTGGAGTTCTTTCCAGATACTCAGAAAACATGCCTGAAATACCATGCTGTGGTAAATTATTCGGAGATGCTTTGAGTATTTGTGTTACTGAGCACAACCCCTAGCTTTGAAGTAAAGATTTAATGATTTGTGGTGAATTGAGAGCACTTAAAACTTGTATTTTGTGTGAACAGATGACAGTGTGTTAAGTATAACTGGAGTTGAAGAAAAGAGACTTAACAGATGACTGAAGTCCCACAAAGCATCTGTAATGGTTAAATGAGTCCAGTTAATATTTTCCGGTGTTTGTTTATTCCCTTCGTTATTGCCTTAGGTTGGTTGAGAGGTGGCTTTGAAGGAAGAAGTGTAGAAGCAGTGCAGAGCAGAAGGAGAAAACTGAACTCCCTTCAGCCATTGTTACTGTTTAATTTGGCAGTACGTATGTAGATGTGTTTCCAGCATTTGGCACGATCGCAGGCACGTTAATTTCTTTAGTTCCTTTAAACTTTGTACTGTTTTACATCCTGGTACTTAGATGCTCCTGTTTATACTGTACTGTTTTAGGTGTTACAGTTAATTTTTTTTTAATGCATTTGAGGAACTCTTTTCACTAGCTGTTCAACTTTTTCGAAGACTTCACAGTTTTGGTATCTCATAAAACTCTGAAAAGCCAGCTTCCCACTGTGTAATTACATAGGTAATAATTCCATATTGCTTAGCGTGTTTTGTATTTTAAAAATATATTTTTATATACACACATATATATATAAAGCTACTTCAAAAATGCAAAGTTTGTGTTATGAATACTAGACTAGTTTTAAATTGGGGAATGGAATGTTGCTTTAGAGAATAAAATAGGCCTAAAGTTTACCCATTTGCTTAGAGTGGTGTAGAATTTTTCTTGTTGGTGACAGAGGGACCATTTTTAATGAGGAAGCACACAGCAGGTAATGTGATGAGGCATAGTTTTGTTATGGGTATCCAATGAGGGAAAGCCAAGATTGCTTCTCGGGTTTTGTTTCCAAGTTTAGCAAAAATGAAGCGGCTGCTTGTGCAGACCATGATAACATCCTCAGAAATCCTGAGGCAAGATGGATAAATAAGTAGAAACTGTTGCCACTAAGGGACATGGCGAAACAGCGTTGTTCATTTTGAAAAGGCAGAGCTGTGTCTTCCATGCAGAGGTATCGCAGGTCTTCTCGCAGGGTTGTTATCTAGATCTGACGTTACAAGTCAGCTGCGTAAAGCCTACTTAAATAGTTTCGAAGAAACTGAAGAGCCCTCAGAGTCTGAAGCTTGTCACTATTGTCTCAAAGAGTTCTTCACTATAAGCTGAGGAGAATATTTGTCAAAACTTACAGATCAATTCTACTTCATAGGAGATTATTTTTTGGTTGTAAAACATGTAGTTAAGAACGTGGGACCTGAATTCAATAGAATAAACTACGCCATTTTCCCATCCCTGTGGAACGTTTCTTTCCCTTCTCGCATACGGTTTGTAAGTGTTCCCTTTTCGTGAGAGTGTGAAAACCGGGTAACGCGGACTGTGGCGACAGGGCCTGGGGCAAGACGCGCGAACGGACTAGGCCGGGCCGGAGGGAAGCGGCGTCGCTCGGAGACCGCCCGCCCCCGGCTGCGGGGTACGTGAACAGCCGCCGCTGCCGCTGGGTCGGGTAGAGCCGCTTCCGCGGCCCGGTGCTGGCCGTCCCGGCGGGGCGATGTAATCTGCTCTTATCTTGAGTCTATTATGATAGACTCCTAGGAAATACAGTCAATGCAGTATCAGCTATAAAGCACTGTCTGTAGTTTGTGTTTAGTTCATGAATAGCACTCTTTTAGTGAAGATACTTTCTAGTTGTATGTGAAAATGCTTTAATTGAAGGCCACTTTTTTATAGAGGATAATAACTACAAATAGCAAATACAAAGAATAAGATGTACAAAAATTTTTAGTGTGGCTTCCCCCCCGCCCCCCGTTTCTTAAAATGGAATGCTTGTTTTTTCATTATTAATAGAAATCTGCTATAAAGGATAAGTTTCTCTACAGTTTAACTAAAGCTATTAAAATAGGCAGCTTTAGAACTGTTAACATATGTTTTGCTTTCTGAGTACTTGTGCTAATGCCTCTGACATTAGGTTATGTATATGTATATACATAACTATCTTTTATAAACAATTTTTTTTTTTTTTACTTTGCCGGTGTAGAATGCAAATAACTATAAGTTTGCCACTTGTTTAACTTCAGTAAAGCTGGAAAACTACGTCTGTATTTGGATAGACTTACAGTGCAAAAATGAAGGTACTTTTTCTTAAATAATGTACACAGAATCTTTGAGTACAGTACGCGTGGATCTTAAGTTTTTAAAGATGTATGTGACTAAGTTTTGAACCAGCAGCTTTTTTTTTATCTTAATGCTATGCTATATCTGTCCTTTCAGTGTTCTCTCTATACCTCTGTTTTAAAAGATATGCTTGTGAATTGACAGAACATAACTGACAAAATGACTTGGATTAAAGTTAGCTGTATTTTGGAGATTTTAGTAATCTTACTGAGACCACTAACTCCACCCTGGAGTTCTGTATATAAACATCTTCTAAAAACTCACTGTACCAAAGCCAGTAATTAAAAATTTGTATTAGTTTTTGTAATAAAAGTGCCTTAGCACTTAAGTCACGGAACAAAACTGGACTTGGATAGTATTTCAGTTCAGCTTTAGCATGCTACCTTCTAAAGAATAGCTTAGATTGCAAATCAGTTTCTTTGATAAATGAAGTGAAATACAAAGGGATGAAATAACTGTAACGCTTCAGGTGAGACAGACCTAAGGAAGATCAAATTTAAAATCACGCTGCTTTGTCATTCAGGTGTTTTTTTAAAAACAAAAGTCCTCTCCCGTTTTAAAGCACAGGTGAGACAATGTACAGTTTTGTGCATCATGCATGAAAATGAGATTAACTTGAAATGCTGGACGTCATTTTTTTAGCTGAATTATTAAAATACCAATCAATAATTTTAACTTACATTTTAGAAACCTAACATTGAAATATTTAAGAAGCTGGATTTTGGAACAAAATTGGCATGTATAACAAGCCTTTGAAAGACTCATCACTGACCATTTGCATTTTTGTTGTTAGGGAGTGTATCTGTTTCCTGTGGCTTTATGTCTGTGGAAGGGAAGAAGGGAACATGTAATAGTTAATGAGACACATAATAGTCAACGTGCATTTTTTAAAAGGAATTTGATTCAACCCCTTTTTCTTCGATTAAAAGCTTTATGGCTAGAAGGGCATCAAATAGGTGCTATTTCAATGTTAGAAACATAAAACTTCTCATGGAGCTCTTGTAAATAAGCAGAATCAAAAATAAAATACCACAGAGCTGGGTAATATTTACCTGGAGTAAATATTACTAATGCCTTGTCAAAACAGACCTTTGTTTAAAAATCCTTCCATGTGAGTGTCATACCTGAATCTTGTGCTGTTTGGTGTTAGGGATCTGTCGGAAAGGACAAAGCAATAACAGCATCGAGCAGGGAAGGGTCACCAGTGTGTAAACTCAGATGAATATTTTCAGGAAACATTTCTGAAAGAGAGATGCTTTTTATAGGAGTAAATAAAAGTTATTACACCCAGGCAGGAATAATTTGCTATACAAATACAGTTTAGAGAACAGCAGTTCTGTAGAAAAGAATTCAGAGCTTATACCAAGAAAGTTGGAGAATCAACAGTAGATGATTGCTCAGGAAGGGAAAAAAACCCCCACCAATTTCGGGTCGTATGAAAAGAAGTATAGTCTTCCACTGTGTTGTGGCAGCAGTAATAACTCAGCTGAAATACTGTATGCGTCTCTGGGAGTTGCATTTCATTAAAAAATGGTCGACTGTTGGGAAAGGACCCAGAGGGTGGCAAGGCAGGAGGTGCCAAGCACCTGACTTTGCAGAGTAATGTTAAGATATGGGTGCAAATGTAGAGGGAGTTGTATCTTTTCCAGTTCCAGAGTGGACAAACATTTGGTAGCAAAAGTGAAAATCTAGGTATAGATCATTAGATAATGAAGAGTTCCTAACAGGATCAAAGTATGTCTGCAGTCTTTGTGAAGTTTCCTTCATAACTCTTTCCTGAGAGAAGCTTGGCTGAATTGTCTGTAATGAGAAGCAGCACATGGCAAAGTGTTGAAGTAAATGGCCTGTTGGATCCTTTTTAGCTTAGTTGACATAATCTTTTTCACAGTTAAGATCAGGTTTTAGACAAGAAAATCATGAATTCTAACATTTAAATCTTTTATCGTATATTTAGATTACTTCTAGGAGAAAAGGCTGTCTACAGAACTCTTGAGAACTGGTGGCCAAGCAGGCAAAGTTGGAACAACCCACCATATTAACTTTCACTGACTGTGATTATTGCTTCCATACAATGTACGACTTGTGGAAGTGATACTAATTTTCTTTGGCTGATAACTCCCTCCTACTTATGCTTATCTGCTTTTAAATATAAAATATTATTTCACCTCGTGACACCACTTTTAGTGCTTTTGAATATTTAGATAGCTTATTTGTTACAACAAATATATAACATCTTTTGAGCTCTGTGTATATGTTGCTTTTGGGAAAAAAGGACTTTTGAGCAAAGACACAAAGAAGTCTTTCCTTGTGTTTTAGGCCAGAGAGACTGTATCTTATCAGCATTTGTGATACTTCTTGGTTATAGCATAGAAATAAGCAAACAGACTTTGTGACTAATCTGGACTTGCTTATGTCCCGCTGTTTTTTTCAGAAAGCTTTTTCTCCATCTCTCCCTGTCTGATAACCTTCAAACTCAGTATAAGTTTCCTGTGTTGTCTGTCATCGTACTGTTGCACACTGACAGTTATGACTCATGATACTGGAAGATCCACAGGCCGTTCATAAATGGGTGGCTCTTCAAAGCATTGTAAATGTAGCTTCTGTGGTTAGGAAAGTCTTATCCCCTCACTACATCTCTGAAATCAGAGCAGCAAACTAGTATTCCTCCATGAAACTGCTAGTCTTGGATGGATGAGATATTCTCTGTGTTAAAATCAGCTGTGAACTTGATTAAAGAACTTTTGCAGAACTACAACAAATACAACTAAAACACTGCTAGCTTTAACACCTACATTTTCTGGCTTCTCTCCTGTTTATAACTTAGTACTGGCTCTGGCTGCTGGAATGGGGCAGCTTTTGCGTGTCCCAAAGCTGAAACTTGAGAGGAGTATTTATTCCATAAACTGCTCATTTTGTGGCATTTTCTTATTTCCAAAGATGATAATTTTTCTTGATGGTATTTATGAAGACGTATTAGTTCCTCTTATTTTACTAAGTCTTAAACTACTGATTTCCTGAAGGGTAGAACTTCCTGTGCCTGCTATTGCTTTGACGTTGAAGCTGTCATTTCTACACATACAACTTATATCTGCACTGTATGCAAAGTGAACCAAATCTTTTCAGAGAGAAGTTGGGTTTGCCACGACAGGGCGGCAGAAATGGTCAGCAAATGCAGACATCTGTATAAACAGGTGGAAGTATGGCAGTCCAGCCCAAACAGAAATAGGACTGGCTGTGTCTGAGGACAAATAAAGTTGGCAAGAAGAGCTTGGAGTAATTTATGTGAAGAAGCAGTTAAGATTTGAGTTGTTTGCAAGATTAACAAAGTGGTTGACAGAGAATCTCCTCTAATGTATTTGGGCCACGGGGGAGAGTAGAACTACTAGTTTTGAAGTGTAACATCCTTAGGGTGTTTTTAAGTCTACATTGAGAAAATTGCCTGTTAGCCTGCAAGTTTTCGCCATTCTTCTGCAATCAGATTCTTCCTCTACTCTGAAGAAAAGCAGTCTGTGCTTCTTCCCTTGTCTCTGAAATGAAGGGTGTCAGGACGGGACTAACTGATGCTCTTCACCTCTGTCAGAAATGTTTTCACGTAGAGGAAGCTATGCAATCCAGGCAGAGAAGAAAAAGTGGTTTTGCCAGTATGGTGAGTTCTGTTTTAGCGAGAAGCTACACTAGTAAAAGTACTTCCATTAGTAATATGACTGTAGTAGCAACTGTTGGAAACACAAGCTCAACAAAAGAAGCCCCCCTCCTGCAGGTGATGCTGCACCAGTATCACATTTAGTATCAGCTGAGAGAACTCAGCTTGGTTACCTGAACAGCGTGACTTCCAACTGCTAGAAAAGATGGTAAGAGTGAACAGTTGCAAAAGTCCCTTGATGTTTTTTACTTGCATTTAAAAGCTTTCAGGGGACTGAAAGTCTTGCTTTGAATTCAAAACCAGTGAAATACTTGATGCAGTTAGTAAGGTGCCTCGTTCTGGTCTGTCTCCCACACTGATTTGTCTTTTTTGGTTTTGTTTGATAGGTGATTTTGTATCATGCAAGAATCTACTTATTTTTAAAAGTTGCTAGAAAATTAAAGCAGACCCTTGCACTTCATTTGCTTAAATTTTTCCTACAAAATAAGATACTAAAAATTACTTTACAAGGATTAAAGGAAGGGGATTTGAGAATTTTGAACTGTGGATCTTGCAGCATTTTGAGCGGTGCTGTGTTGAGTGCTTATTAAATGGGACTGTTTTCCTATACTTTTTCACAGCGTAACTGAATGCCAGTTAGGGGATCTGTGTTCAGTTTTAGTGTTAACCTACCTGTAGCTCTTCGCTAGGTTTTTCCTAGGCCTGTAGCAAATTCAAGTCAGAAGCAGGAACATACAGGGAAGGGTAGTTTTGGACGAAAACAGGTTTTGAAGAAACAGATGCAGGAATTGGAACTGTGAACTCACATGGCAGATCAGAATATGATTTTATTTAGTCCTGTACTCCCAGTGGGTGCGTCCATCTCTGCCTGAGCGTGAAAGAGGGTGCTGGACATTGCAGTGCCTTGACACCAGCATTGTACCCCTGCTTGGGGAAACTGTATCTCAACATCAAAGCTGTGGAATTCAGATTCCAGTAAGCACTGAAATGGAAACGTTTTATCCTCTTCTTTCCCCCCTTTTAAATCAAAGCTTGTTAATGCAACTTACATCATAAGCCATGCTTCTGAGTATCTGGAAAATAATATCTTAGGGAACTAAATGCTCTTCTTGGCACATCTCTGATTGGTGTTTCCAGAAAATAAAAATTGTTTTATCCATGGGTGTTTTCTTCCTTTAGAACAGTTCTCTGTACTGTCATAATTATCAGTTGTCTTGAAATCAAAGCCTAAAATTAGTTTTTATTTCCCTTCGTACTATAGAGAGGTTAATCACCTTGAAAATACTTCAAGCTTTTTTTCTTCAGTTTTAAAGTTATTTGTAGAGATGCCTTAAATTCAAAATCTTGTGTGTTAGATAGAATCCAGGATATCCTCATTGCAGCTGGTAACAGGAGAAAAGATGCACTGAAATAAATTTTCATGTTAAGCTGGAGGTTGAATATGTAAAATCTTGATTTCTAGCCTAAAAATTATCACCTTCTGCTAAGATGATGTTGAAAGTCTTGCCTAAATAAATTTGAAGTCTTGGCAGGCTAGATGAAAGTTTTTAAACTGTAAACTCGTAATAGTTACTGTAGCTAAGCTGAAAAGATGCTTTGTACAGGTATAGGAAACTCTAAAATATATCAGCGAACAGATACCTTATTTCTTGTACCGGATTTGCCTGTTCATTAAAGGATAAGTGCATGTGCATGCATCACAGGTTTGTTTTAGGGAAATTACTATATGATTAAACACCAATTTTAATATTGTCTTTCATTTTTCTAGGGAGTTTATATCGAAGAAATGCTGTGGCAGTTCTAAAACTCTTGCAAACTGATATCCATGTAAGTATTGTCTGTTACATGGTGTGCCAGACATAGATTTGAGTACTTATTGAAAAGTAATAAATCACACATCTTTTAAGTTTTCCTTTTTTCAAAGAACTTTTATTTGTTTGGGTTTCAGTTTTATATGCCAGGTCAGAAGTCCTTCCCTCTGTGTTCAGACTTGTTAGTCACTCTTCCATGGTTCAAGCTTACACATGCTTCAAAGAGTGCCTTTTTTTTTTTTTTTTTTTTTTTTTTTTAAACACTCCTATCAGAGACCATTCACAGGAGAACTAGTCACATGAGCTCTTGAGGATTTTCCTCCTTCCTACAGTATGTGTTTCTGCCAGTTTAATTCTGATGTGTTTATTTTGCTCAGGTTTCAGTGTTGCATCATCTTGTGTTGAGTAACAGAAGTTCTACTGTTCATTGATCAATGTGAGAGTCTTTAGTAGTTTACGCAATGAGCCAAACTCGTGGGAGATATGACTTCTGTATTGGTCTGGTGTTGGCTATGAGCTCCAGCATTTTCATTGGAGGAAGTTTCATCCTGAAAAAGAAGGGCCTTCTCCGGTTAGCTAGGAAAGGCTCCATGAGAGCAGGTAAATACATGTTTAAGAAACTTTCTGATAGTTGAGTTTGCTGTTTAACAGAAGATTACTAAACTAATCATCTTGGTTTGACTTTTTTTTGTTTGTTCAGGGTATTTGAAACTTAAAATATATAGCTGATAAGGTTTTTTTTCCTCTGGTGTCATACACCTAACTCTGTGTGTGATACATGCTATTTAATTGGCAGGTAATGCTCTCTAGGGACACTTGCTGATTCCTTCACATGTCAGTTAAATCTGAATTGTACTTGCAAATTGAACTTGGAACCAGCACACTTAACTACATCTGTGCTCCTGAATGAGTGAATCTGGGAGAATGTTAACTGTGTTTGAGTGTCAGGAGATTGTTTCAGAAAAAATAAAAATCACATGTAACAAATAGTGTTCCTTAGTGGTTCATACCGGAACCAGTACTATTTAATAGCTTCATCAGTGACACAGACAGTGGGACTGAGTGCACCCTCAGCAAGTTTGCTGATGACACCAAATTCAGTGGTGCAGCTGATTCACTGGAGGGAGGAGATGCCATCCAGAGGGACCTGGACAGGCCTGGGGAGTGGGCCCGTGCAAACCTCATGAAGTTCAACAAGACCAAGTGCAAGGTCCTGCACATGGTTGGGGCAGTCCCCAGGATCATGCAGACTAGGGGATGAAGGGATTGAAAGCAGCCCTGCAGAGAAGGACTTGGGGCTACTGGTGGATGAAAATCTGGACATGACCCAGCAATGTGCACTTGCAGCCCAGAAAGCCAACTGTATCCTGGGCTGCATCAAGAGAAGTGTGGCCAGCAGGTTGAGGGAGGTGATTCTCCCCCTCTATGCTTTCATGAGACCCCACCTGGAGTACTGTGTTCAGCTCTGGGGCCCCCAACATAAGAAGGACATAGACTTGCTCGAGCAGATCCAGAGGAGGCCATGAAAATGGTCGGTGGGATGGAGCACCTCTCTTGTGAGGACAGGCTGAGAGAGTTGGGGTTGTTCAGCCTGGAGAAGAGAAGGCTCCAGGGAGACCTTATAGCAGCCTTCCAGTATTTGGAGGGGACTTAAAGGTGGAGAGAGACTTTCTACCAAGGCCTTTAGTGACAGGACAAGGGGCAGTGACTTTAAACTGAAAGAGGATAGATTTAGATGGGACAGTTACAGCATCCTCAGATGATTCAGAGGGTTGAATTGGAATATTTTTAATTTAGCACCTTTCATCTCTGTTTCTAAAAGATGGTTGATCTCAGGTAATTCATGCTCCCTGGTTTGTACATGTAACCAACCACATAAGCCACACACGATTTCCACAAAGTAGCATTCTCGTAAGAGACACAAAACTTGGCTTTTCATGTCATTATAATGAGTTGAAAGATCTGTTTTTCAGGGTAATGCAGATGCAGTGCCATTTCTAATACAAAAGAAATAAACTATCTAGTTTTCAGAGTAGGCTGTAAGAGACATGCATGTAGAAATGAGAAGATTTTATTTCAACCCCTCTAACTATAAAGCCTAAGTATTAAAAGGCTTCCCATGTTTTTAAGGGCATGGGCTGCAAAAATTATTTTGGTGATGTCATCGGTGACAGGGCTTACTCTGTCAATGTATGTTTTTAATGGAGTAGCAAACATTCTTTCAATTTTAGGTCAAGGTGGTCATGCGTACCTTAAGGAGTGGCTGTGGTGGGCTGGACTTCTTTCGAGTAAGTATCATAAATATAATATGCTTTATATAATTTCATTAAAAGACTGTACCACAGGTGGCACAGTGGTTACAAAAAATGAGCAAGATGGGGATTCTGTGATGTAAGGTAATGCTGTCTGGTGATTTGATGAGTGCAGCTCTAATGATTTAATAGAACATCTCTCACACCAGAAGTTCTTTCATTAACTTAATTTTCCTCTTTGGGCAGTGGGACAAGGTAGACTTCAGACTTCCTGGTTCTCTTTGTTAGCATATGCATTCTGGTTTTTGTCTTAGCAGAGAACTGCTTAGATATACAAGATTCTTTAGAGGGAAGCATATTTTGGGATGATGTCTATTTTCTAAACTTTTTTTTTTTTCATTGCTTAAACTCTGGATTTACTGGCTGTGTTCAGGTAACTATGGCTTAATGTATGCATTGCTCTGTATCCTGCTATTGCAGATTTCTCTATGCAGAAGTTCATGACTGAAGTTGGCAGTTTGGGGAGCTACAACATAGACACCAAAATAAAACACCTTCTCATTTGGCCGAATTAATGTTAATACCTGTTTTGGTCCCCTGGCCTGTTTTTAAGATATAGTAATAGGGGGTTTGTAGCGTTCTAGTACTGTTAGCTGAACGCTATGATGAGAATCTTCCATTGTTTCCTTACCGCATGTTTGTGTCTACAAGAACACTTGCACTGATTCACAGGTGTGTTGCGCAAGACAGTGTAACTCCTTTTTTATTACTATTTATTACTCTGCAGTGGGAGCTGGCGAAGTAGCTAACTTTGCTGCCTATGCTTTTGCACCAGCTACGCTAGTGACTCCTTTAGGGGCTCTCAGTGTTCTTGTAAGGTAAGAAACACTAACAAACAGCAATGTGATGTCAGAGACAGAAGTAAAATATTTCTTTAGAAATGTTTCGCTAAATTATGCTGTAACAAATGTGGTTTGTTCTTAACTATACATAAAGTCTGCTTATAAACCTCAGGAGTAACTTTTAAGTTTCTCCATATGTGAAGCGACTGTGCTCTAAAAGGGTTCTAGCAATGCATCTATACCTTGATCTGTAAAAAGTTGTCATGTGCTGCATTTCAAAAAAGTTGTATACAACAGGGTAGTATTTAAATTCCTAATTAGAAATAAGATTTTTGTCTTGTAAAAACTATTTTTACAAGTGCTTAGATACAGAGTTTCGGGGGAGGCAGCATAAAGAAGGGGTTTGGGGGAAAGATGCCAAATTAACAGGTAGTTCTATCCATGGCAAGTATCTTGAGATAGAAGAGCAACTATGTAGCTATTCTAAGTAAATGCTCAATTAGTAGATTAATCATAACAGATTTATGGACCGTTAATACGTGTTCTTGCTCACCAAAAGCTGCACACGCTAGTGACCTGTACAGTCAAAGCAACCAGGAAGTTGATGAGCAAATGAATGAGATATTACTAATTCCTTGTTTGCTGGTGCATTTTTTTCTTCTTAGTGCCATTCTGTCATCCTTCTTTTTAAATGAAAAACTTAATCTACATGGAAAAATAGGGTGTTTGCTAAGTATACTGGGATCAACTGTGATGGTAATTCATGCTCCACAAGAGGAGGAAGTAGAAACTTTGAACGAAATGTCCCACAAACTAGGTGATCCAGGTAAGAAAAATGCTGGCTTGATCTGTAGGCAGCCCATCATTTCTTTATTATAGTTTCATTACTGCTGTTTTCAAGTTCCAGGAAGATAGCCCATGCCTGTTTCATGGTGCCAAAATGAAGTAGATTCAAGTTCTGTGATACAGTTCCATAGGGAGCTTTGCATGCTGCCAGTGAACTCATCTGGCCTTGGACAGAGTGTCTTGATGTGAACCAGAGATGACAGTTTAAACAAATGCAGCAGCACCTTCTATAATTAAAGTTTTCATTGAAGAGTGTCAGTCTCTAAGCCCCCCCTCCTCTTTGATCTATCCTTAAAATGAAAAAGGAGATACTGTGTTAAGTGTCTGCTGAGAAGTGTAATCCTGAAGACAAGCTCCTCTAGATGAGGCATTCACAAATAGATCTGCATAATACTATATATACAAATACAAATCCCATTTTAAACATGAGGAAATAGCCAGCACAGAGATTAAAAGCTGATCTTAAGGAATGATGCTATTATTGGAAATCTGCCACTGAGTGTAGCAGCCTGCCAAACTGTACCTCCCTAAAGAGCATTCAGACACAAGCCTGGATCCAGTGGCATCTGCACCTCAGCAGGTCTGTGTGGAAGGCAATATAGGAATCTCATCCTCTAGTCATCTTGCTGATGGACTGGTAAAGGTAATATAATGTGCCAGAGTTTCATTCTTTAACTAACTTGCTCTAAAACCATTTTAACTTTGATGTTGGAGAAACATCAAATGAAAAACATCCTGAACTCTCCTGTTTAAGCTGAGCCGATCACATTGTTAATGTTTTCTTGGTACCTCTGGGATGCTCTTGACGTTGTACATAAGTAACAAGATTTTCTTTCCCCCCTCAACCACAGGTTTTGTGGTCTTCGCAACTCTTGTTGTCATTGTGTCTTTAATTCTAATATTTGTGGTGGGACCTCGCCATGGACAGACCAACATTCTCGTGTACATAACAATTTGCTCTGTAATTGGAGCGTTATCAGTCTCCTGTGTAAAAGGTTTGGGCATTGCTATAAAGGAACTTTTTGCAGGAAAACCAGTGCTGAAACATCCCTTGTCTTGGATTCTGCTGCTAAGCCTTATTGTCTGTGTGAGCACACAGATCAACTATTTAAACAGGGCTCTGGATATATTCAACACTTCGGTAGTGACTCCAATCTATTATGTGATCTTTACAACATCTGTTTTAACTTGTTCTGCCATCCTTTTCAAGGAATGGCAACACATGGTGGCTGATGACATTATTGGCACCTTCAGTGGCTTCCTGACTATCATTGTGGGGATCTTTTTATTGCATGCCTTCAAAGATGTTAATTTCACCCTAGCAAATCTGCCTGTCTCTTTGCGGAAGGATGACAGAGCAGCAAATGGTACTTTGCTGAGCACATACGACTGCTTTAATCATGAGGAAGAAAGTTCTGCCTGTCTAGGTGAAATACAAACCACAGAGAGTCTCTCAGCCAGGAGGAATGGAAGTCTGTCAGCCTTCTGAAAATATCTACATGTTACTTAAGGAAAGAGAAGTTCTGTAACTCTGGAATTTTTTTTTTCTGCTGTGAAATGTCTGAGCGTGTCTGGAAAATCATACACTTTTTAACAGTCTGTGTAGACAATCGTTAATTTTTAAGTTTGATTAGTTTGGATAAAGAACACTGAAGGACTTTTTTTTTGCCTTATTTTTACTTTAAAAAATACTAAAATGACCTCAGACCACAGTTGGTTTTGTTGCTTAAGTTATGTGTAAATACTTCATTTCATTCTTCTGTTTTAAGATGTATTGCACTAATGACAACTTTATCAAAAATAAATGGCTTTATTTCTGCATTGGTGGTAAAAAGATTGAAGTGACCCTGGATCCTTTGTACTTGAGCCCTGACTGAACACTGAGGGACTGTAAACATACTCAGAGAGGAGCTGTCCCAGTTTGTAAAAGAGGAAAGGGAGAGCTACGACCAAGCACGACATCCTTTGAAGATACTGCTTAACTACAGTTGTATGCTAAACTTGCAGGAGTTGCATCAAACCTCCCCCCAACCTTACCAAATAGCATAATTGGCTGGCACCAACAAGGTGGGAGCTTCTGCTCTGCTTGGATAGGTGAGGTGTTAGCTCCTGCCCTACCAGGTTATGCAGGAGGAAGGATTGGAGTTGTTAATAGTAACCAAAGCAAGCTTTCCCTCTTCTGTAGAAGAGGTCAGGTTCTGTCTGTCTGCTGTGCGGCCCTGGTGCAGTAGAGCTGTGCTGTGTTTTTGATGTTACAGCTGCAACTCCCAGAACTGTAGTTTTGTTTACAGTAATGGTGTCACAGCCAGTAAGTTTTTAAAAAAGGGCCAAAAATTGCAACATAATGTCATTGCTTAAAAGGGTGAGAGAGGTAGGGTGGTAATTTAAGTTTGCAAAGGCAGAAAATAGTGAAAGTTTTTGTAAGCACATTTTTACTATAGATGTGAAGGTTAGAAATTATTTGGGACAGACAACTAGTTACTACTGTAAGGTGTCAGTTTTAGGGGTTTACTGTTTAAGAGTATAATTATTACTAGGTCAAAAAACAGTTCCCACCTCTGAAAGTAACTGCTGCCTTCCTTTGGTACATGTTATACATGTAGGAGGGGTGAAGGTGTCAAGCAAGAAAAAGCTTCTTTAAATTCTGGTTGAAGAATGGGACTTGAACTTCTACCTAATTTTAAGAGACATGATACCAGCAGCTCTTAGTCATGGAAACACCACCCTTGAACGCTGAGGCAGCAACGAGCACAGGACCGGGGAGTAGCCAAACTGCCCCAGTCAACAAATTCCAGGCTGCCTTCTCCAGTACCTGAGCAGCAGCTTATCCAAACAGCAGGTTACAACTTCAGGTGGTGGAATCTGTTACTTTCCATTGCAGTAGGTACTTTGGCTTCAAGACCCAGGTTTTGATGAGAAATAATGAAAAATTAAAAACTTAAGGCTTTTGTGCACCTTGCTGCATTTTTCCTTTTAGGAAGGAGAAGCAGTTACACCAGGTGAAGAGGTTTTGGCTCCCATCAAGTCTAATAATCCTGTTCGGAAAAAAAAAAAAGCAACCTACCTTTGAAAAATGCGAAACAGACATCTCATATGACTAATGTTTGTATTCTCTTAAACTCATACTAAATGGAAAAATGTAATCATAAAATACATACTAATGCTAGTACTTAGAGACCAATTCTAAAAGTTAACTGGTAGGAATTGGAACTTTCATCATTAGTTATTTTTAAATTGCTCTTGAACATAAAACCAAGCTTTATTAAATAACCACAGTGCCAAGCCAAAGCCTCAGGTCTGTGAGACTTATCTGAAAACCAGTGATTATCTCAACAAATTAAGGAAGTTGTTCATTTCCTTAATTGAAGCCTGAAGCATAGGGAAGTATTTGGATGACTGGAAGTCTTCTGAGAACTAAAAAGAAACATTTCTTAAAGAAAACTGTCTGTTAAGCACCTTGTGAAAGAAATCCTGCAAGAAACTGGTGTAGTAAAGCACAAGTGTTTCCGACTTGCATATCCCACGCACTGGGCAGCCTCCTGTGCGCTCCCACCACAACAGCAGCTCTTGAGCACAGATATCATGGGAAAAACAGCAGTAATAGAAACTCGCTTATAGAGTGCCTGGCAAGTATCTATCCTCTCTTTTGCAGAGGAATTTCAGTTAATTTCTTTCCTTACTAATCCAGTTCCCTACCACCCCAGTATCTCCACATTCCTTATCTTTTGTGTACCTCCTCTGTCAGATGCTTGTTTCTACCCATTACTGGACTCAATTCCATTGCTGTGAAACAGTTGAAAAGAGCTAAGCAGGACAAGAGATGTGCTGGAAACTAACCTTGAACTAGTAAGAAGGAAGGGAGAAAAAGGGGTTCTCAAAGGGATATGTTCTTGGTTTCCCACTGGGGGTTAGAAACATTAACCAAATACCATCTCCAGAAATCCATATCCTGGGTAAAATGGGTTATTATCCATCTGTATGTGTTCCAGCCATCTTAACTCACTTTTCTTTTTGGGTTGATGCTGATGGCCAACTGAAAAGCGCTGCCAGGATCCTGCAGTAAACAAGCAGGAGTTACTACTTTCGGCTTAAGAGGTTGCTTTAAAATTCAGATTTTACAGTTGCAAAGTTTTACAAACAATTTTACTGATGCAGTGTTTGCATGATACAGTAAGTGTAATTAAACAAATACTTTCCATAAGTAAATCATGATTAACATCGTTAGAGCTTATGTGCTAGGATAGCTTACACCTGATCACTGTAGTCAAGATTCCTGTAAACAAGAATTCCTTGTCACTTGTAAACATGTATTTTGGTACACAGGTGTGTCTTGCCAATCAAAAATATAAATTGTGTTAGAAGCTCTCATTAGGAAAAAGTAAACAGTCCCATTTCAATCAAACTACTGCCTTTTTAAAAGATCAGAATACTATCAGTCACCTCCATGTTAAATAACTTTGAAACAATCACCTTAATTAGCCTTCATTTCCATAATTACTGATCTCAGAGAATAGTTTTACATAGAGAAAAAATAATCAACTGACTAGAAAAATTATTCACAAAGCACCAGCAGAGTTTGTTGGTTGTTTGTTTTTTAATAAAGGCTAATTAAGCAATTATGCTCTAATACAAACAATTAGGAATTGATTTCTGATTTTTTTTTTTCCTACAGAACTCAAGTTTCTTATCCTCCACAGCTATTATTTTGACAGCTTCAGGGGAAAATTACACCAGTCCAGTCAGAAATGGCCACCTCAGTACAGGAATGCAAAGAGATTTCAAAAATCTTTTACAGTCGCAAGTTTTTAATCAGTGTATAAAATTTTTAGTGTAGAAAAATAAGTATGGATTGTATACAGTTACTGTGCTTGGAGACTGAAGAGGACAGTGCACCACTCAAATGGCACAGGCATACTGAAAAATGCTGATGAGTATTCCTTGGAACTGTTGGTGTGGGGTTTGTTTGTTGTTTTTTTCTCATACTTTCAGCCTAAATAGGTGCAAAAAGTATTGTTAGGTGGGAAGTCTAGTTGCTGGCAAGGGACTGATGAATAGGTGGCTGGAAGCAGCGCACGTGTTCCACGGGTGTGCTCTCTCCATCGCCAGACTTCAAATACTTGTCCAAAATAGCAATTATTTCATCATTCAGAATCTGGAACTTGCGAATTCTCTCAACCATTTTCTTCAAAGGCTGCAACATCAAAAACAGACACAGAGGAATTAGCTTTGGAGATAAAAAGCCTTAGACACAAAAGCTGCAAATGCTATATTACCTCACCTCTCCCAGCAGTGTTATGAATGTTTCCCTTCCACTGCTAATCCATTGAAAATCCAAAGTGCATTTTGGTTTTGGACAGTCCTGCTTTATATGCAAAGAAGGGCAATTTACAGCAGCCTTGTCAAAATCCGAATGCACTTAGATGAGATGGAAAGCATTAAGAAAATCCCACATATTGAGGAAATCAGAATTCTTACTAACCAGTCGCCAAACTCCAGTACTAATGCCTTAATCTTTTGCTCCTAAAGCCCCCAGTGCCCTCATTTTCAGCATTTCACTCTAAAAAGCAATTGCTACATCTACACTACATCTGAGTACAAACAGCTCTGATCTAGTGTTGTCTTTTTCACTGCAGCAAATACAGACCAGATGTTTCCAACTCACCACATTCTTTATAACCTCGTCTTTGCCATCATGCTTTTGGACTTTCAACAGGTGGTAGCAGAAATCCAGCACATCAAAGCGACGCTGCTGTCCCAGAAGCACGATGATCATACAACCAGCCCAGTGCAAGCCATCTCCAAAGCACTGCCTGAGACAGGAAACACACCGTGTAAAGCACGTTCCACCTAAGTCTTAAGAAACATATCCACAGGAAATGCTCACTAATCAGCCATCATACTAAAAACCGAGTATGTTAGACATTAATCTAGAAAATACTGCAAAATCTCTAGTAAATTCTCTTTCCAGATACCACAAGCAATGCAAATGGATGCTTAACAAAAAAAAAGTTCCCCCCTCCCAGTTTTACACAAAGCAATTACTCCAAAAACATTTACTCCCCATGAGACTCCAGCAGCATTACATTTGATTTGCAAAGGAAACAAAAGTGGGAATTCAACACCACTCTGCTTCTTTGGGCTGCAGGCATGAAAGGAAGCAAATGTCCTATGCTGTTGCCTCCATAATTGCTCAGTGAAAGCACATTACAGCTCAACGGTTTTTCAAAATAAGGGTATTACCAAAATTAACAAAGCCAAGAACCACAGTTCCTAGGTAACTCATGTTAATCATGTTAACTTCCACGTGCTCGTTCTTAATTCAGAGAAGAAATACTTGTTAGAAATATATGCACGAATGTTCAGCTATTTTATATTTAAGTTCAGCATCCATGGGGGTCTGACTACTATTGAAATATGTGTTCTAGGGCCTGTTTGTCATGGGCTCATTCATTATAAACTGGCAGTACTTTAAAATAGAAGGTTATTTTCAATAAAGATACAATAATATCTGTGTTCATAGATTATGAGCCCCTCCCAGCAACTGCAACCCTCTCCCTTGTTTTCACACTGAGCTCTTGCAGACGGGCGAACAAATGCCTCCATTCTAGGCCCTCTGGTCGGTGACAAGCAGAGTGCTGTTGCCTGCAGGCGAACCGCTGGCAGCTGGGCAGTACGTACTCCACAGTGAACTCGTGCGTTCCCACGGGGATGCAGTAGACAAACTGCATCGCGCTCCAGAGGCGATGGAATTCCACGCATTCATCCACGTGCATCACCCCGTTGCTGGGCAGGGGCCCGCGCCAGA